TCGTTCTTTTAATTAATGATAAGTTATCCTGGGAGCGGTGGGCATGAAGGCCTCGGGGAAATGAGCCAAGCTGGTACTTTTATTCCTGGTAGGATCCGGGACACACTCCTCCCCCCACCTCCTATCTGCCCCCCGGGAGACATGGAACTAGGTCCATGCCCACCACTCCCAGACTTTTACTTCTAGGTGAGGTGTGTAGCCCCGGGAGCTGAAGGGAGAGCCCCGTCTGTCGCAGCCTGGGCACAGTTCAGACCAGTTGTGGGCAGGTGCTAGGAAAACGGGATGCCACGCGTTCTTCGTTCGGGCTCTTGGAGCCATCTGTGTGATTGACGTGGCTCATGACCTTGGGCCAATCTCAGGCAACTGTAGACTCCATGGTTGGGGGGTGGGGTGGGGATTGGGTCTGGGGCAGGCTGTGTCCAGGCAGAGCAGTCACTGTGCCAGGACCTTGGTGTCATTAATGCCCCACGACCTCTTGGGAGGAAGGAGCAGCCAGGCATATTGGATGTCTTGGGAACAGGGGCAGCCTCCGTTGCAGCTCTGGCTGTCCAGTGAGCAGCCCAGGGACACCCTTACTCAGATATGCCCGCCAGCCCCATGCTAGGGCCTCCCGATTCCAGTTTCTTCGTCTATAAAATGAGGAGTTGGACCATTGATCTTTCAGATCGCATGTTTTGGAAGGGGGTTGACCTCACACTAGGTAGCTTCCTGGAGAAGGTGGCCAGGAGTGGCCTTGGAAGCAGTGGGGCACAGTCAGATGGAGAGGAACAGGGAGGGCCTCTTGTTTTCCTGTCCAGTGGCACTCCCAAAAGCTCAGGGGCATGTGAATGCAGCCCCTGGGGGAAGCAGGGTGCAGAGTCTGATCTGGGAGCCCAAGCCTGAGACACTCTGCTTCTCCCCTCCTCGCTTCAGAACCCCCTGCCCCTCACACCGGTTAAGTGTGCCACCAGGGTAGGGCGGTTTTGTTAATCTTACGGGAGATCTGAAGTGCTCTGAAACACGTACGGGTCACACCTCTGCTGATCTGTGGGCCCCTGAGAACAGAGCCCTGATACGTGTCACTCAGCAGCCCGTGTGTGGGTGTTAAAGGCAGAGAGGGCAGGGAGAGAGGCAGATGGAGCTGAGAGGCTGGCTGGGGGCTGGGGCACCTGGTACACCTATAAGTGGGTGTGTCGGGGAAACTACATGCCCACGATCCCCATCACTCATCATCGCATAGGGAGGTGTCTGGGCTGGCCCCCATTTCCAGCATGGCCTGTGTTCCACGCAGAGGGGCCTGGGATGGGGCAGCTGATATCCCTGGTCAGGGAAGTGGCCTTATGAGAAAGGTGGGCCCTCTATAGCTTTGCATGTCTGTGCTATCAGCACGTTCTTCCCTGGATCTAACTTGCACCTGCCGAGCCCTATGTTGAGCTACCAGGAGATGGAGAAGAAAGGAGCGCCCAAGGCCATCCCGACTCGTTTCTTCTCACTGGCCTCCTGGGGGGGGTGTCTTGGTGGAAGTCTTGTTAGCAGGGGCAGAGCCTGATGTTGGTCATTACACCCCTCGGTTATGGTTCTCAGGGAAATTGACTTATACTAACCAGACTCATAGAGGACAGATACATAAATCAGAATAGGCCATTTCCTTAATGTGCAGTAGTTTCCCCTTATCCGTGGCTTCGTTTTTTTGCGGGTTCAGTCACCCAGCTTCTGGTGGCCCTGCACATTCCTTGGCTTGCGGCTGCATCCCTCCAATCTCTGCCTCTGTTGTCACATGGCCTTCTTTTGTGTCCATGTGCCTCTCTTTTTCTTATAAGGACACCAGTCATTGCTGGGTTAAGGGCCTCCTTTACTCCAGTATGACCTTATTTTAACTGATTACATCTGCAGTGACCCTTTTTCCAGCTAAGGCCACATTCACCAGTACTGGGGTGAGGACTTCAGCATGTCATTTTGGGCACACAGGCAACTCCCATCGCTGTCTCATGAGCAGATTTCTGTTGCTCCTTTGCCTGCTTCCGTGTGTCGGGTGCCCACCCCACGCTTTCTGCTCCCCATTCCCTGGTGCCCACCTGGCCTCGATGGGATGGAACCAGCTAACTCCCTGAGATTGTGCCCACAGGTGTCCATCGCCTTCCAGGACCTGGCTGTGCGGTTCTCTGAGGAGGAGTGGCAGCTTCTGGGGGAGAGGCAGCGGGAGCTCTACAGGGATGTGATGCAGGAGAACTACGAGGCGCTGGTCTCCCTGGGTAAGGAGCTGGCAGTGCCCTTGGGCCTGTCTGGGGAGGTGTGGCATGAGCCCCGGTTGCAAGTGCAAGGGGGACTGGATCCAGCACCAAACATACCCAGAGTCTCCCGGGGACCCTGGAGTCCCCACCCCCACCCCCAGGCCTTGGTTTTCACGTCCAAAAGGAACACCATATGAGGTGGCGTTCGGAGAGCCTCAGCTGAGCTGGAGGCCTCACTGATCTTTTATGCCATCGTTGCTTTTATGGACTGCACTAGGGTTCTGGGTGTGCTTCGGTGGGGTTGCTAAAAAGCTGGCAGAAGCAGAACAAGGTGGTTTCCGAGGTTCTGACGCTGTGCAATTCCTGGGGTTTGGGTGGTCATATGAACACGCGTGTAAACAGGTGCATGGCTGTGCAGGTGCCCGGGCCACCTGCTCACTTGTGCTTGGGGGTGGAGGTGAGCTTCCATTCCAGGGGGACTCTCTTTTCTTCCTCAGGGACGGCTGAGCTGCTCCCCCTCTCTGCCTTCCTGTCTCCTGCGGAGCCTGGACTGGCCATGAGCAGGAGCAAAGCTGGTGAGGGACAGGAGCCACCTAGGGGAGGTGCCCTAGGTGAGTAATATGGTAGGCCAAGGCCAAGCCCCTTGGGGTGTTCTGTTCCCCCTGGATAGCCTGGGCCCAAGTGGGCCCACTCTTGTCCCTCCAACCCTATGGTCCTCAGCCCCCAGCTTCACTTCCCATGAGACACTGTGACATCAGTTGTCCCTACCTTGACCTTTCACCCCTTGTCCCTCTGGGCTGGGAGCCTGGTACACTCACCCATTGCATGACCCACTCAGAAGAAACCTAGGGTCGCCCTTGGAGTGCATCACCTCTGTCGATCCCCTTCCTGTCACCCACCTGAGCTGAAGGTGTGCCACAGGGCTGGCATCTGGAGACCTCAGATGGTAGATAGGACCCATGGACCCAGTCTGGGCGTGGCCCGGAGGTTTAGGGGCTGCCAGGAAAGGTAGAGGGCTTGGATGTGGGAGGGGAGGGAGAGGCAGCCCTCCTTAGTGTCCCCCTGGGAGGAGTAACAGGTAATGAATGACAGTCTATAGAAAAAGAGGCCAGTTACCCAAGGTCCCAGTCCCTAGTCCTGGCTGTGCCCATGGGCAGGTCACCAGGCCTGAGCCCCGGTCCTCTTTATCTCATAGCCATCGGTTCCTCCTTTGCCACTCCTTATGTGGCAGGAGGACCACATGAGATGCTGGCGTGAAGACGCACACAGAGGCGTGAGTGCTGAGCTGACGTAGGGTGTGGGGGTTCACTGTGGCCTCTCCGGCAGGAGGAGCACCCCAGCACAGCCTGCACCTCACCGCCCTGGTGCAGCTGGTGAAGGAGATCCCGGGGTTCTTGTTCGGGGAAGTCGACCCTGAGAGCGGGGGAGCCAGCCTGGATGGGGAGCGGGCGAGCCCGGAGGGTAAGTCGGGCAGCAGGGCAGCCTCTGCCATCCACAAGGTAAAGTTCAAGCTGTGAGCGTCCGCCGGCTGTGTGCCTGCTCACTTGCTGCTGGACCCTAGCTGGCGTCACCCTGTGTCGTGGACGCCCCACGGCCTGCCTGCTCTGAGAGCACATGGGTAGTTGATGAGACAGCAGCTTCTGGCTTTTCCCGTAGTGATTTCTACATAGTGGCTTCTACGTGGCTTCATCCACACCCTCGTGGCCTCGTCACTTGTGCCCTGCGTGGCAGGTGAGGCCAGTCCCTGTTCTTTTTTTTTTTTTTTAAATGTATCTTTATTGATTTCAGAGAGAGGAAGGGAGAGGGAGAGAGAGTTGGGACATCAATGATGAGAGTGTCGTCATTGATCGGCTGCACTCCCCCTGCTGGGGATCGAGCCCCAACCTGGGCATGTGCCCTGACCAGGAATCAAACAATGATCTCCTGGATCCTAGGTTGATGCTCAACCGCTGAGCCGTGCTGGCTGGGCCTGGTCCCTCTTCTATAGGTGAGGAAGACGAAGCTGTACCTTGCCTGAGTGGCCAGTGGGGACAAAGGTCTGCCTCCCAGCCAGTGCTCTTCCCCTGCACCAATCTCTTCTTCCTTCCCTGTGCCCTGCTCACCTGCCCTTCTCAGCTCAGGCCTCCCCTCCTCCGGGGGTCTGTCCTCATCAGCCCGAGCCTAGGGGGTTCCTTTGAATCCACTCAGTTAATGGCAAATGGAACAGAAAGTGGAGGTGGGAGGTGTCTTAACAGAATAAGACCCAGACTATGAGTCGACATTTTAGAGCTCAGGGGTGACAAGGCAGAGCTTACAGATGTTCTGGTCATTGTTAGTGGAACACAGCAAGGAAGGGCTGGAATGGAGCACTTTCCCTGCTGCTGGGCTTAAATCCCAGCTTCCAGTGTCCTCTCTCCTCCCCACAGCAGCTGTGACAGTGGAGACTGGTCCCCTGCTCAACTGCCTTCCAGACACACCCGTCAGCCAGCCTAGTCTGGCCACCACGCCCAGCTCCTCGTCTAGCGGTTCACCCAGAGCCAGGGGCCAGGGAAGCCCCGTCCCCATCAGTGAGTGTGACCCTGGAGTCAGGGGGACCGGACCCCATACCCTATTCATTTTTTCTAAGACTTGGTTTCCCTCGTTGCTAAATGGGGACAAGTTCCCTGGGGAGCAGGACAAGCGCTCGGACTTTATGAACCAAAGAGCAGGTGAGGTAGGTGCTCAATGCCGGGCCACCTCTCACCCAGTCCAGCTCCTGGAGCACTGTGTTCATGTCGCTCGCGCGCATAACTGGGGGGTGGTCGCTGACATGCACGCCCATCAGGTAACCTACCTGTGCGTGCCTGATCGATTCTCAGACCTTCTCATCAAGGCAACCCTGAGAGCAGAGGAGGGCAAGGGTAGCCATTAGAATTTCTTTGGGGTCTCACTTTATTTTTTAAAATTCTTACAAATTTATCATTTGTCTGAATGTCTGTTGTTATTTAAAATGTTTTAAATTAATACGGAATAAAATTGGCACTCCTGAAAGACATACCCATTTAGCCTGTGGATTCAGGTGTTGCCAGGGGTTCTACATCTCCACGTTTGAGAAGCATGAATGCAGAGTGAGGGGCCGCATGTTAAGATTGCTGGTGTCACTTGCTGAGCCAAAGTCAGAGGCTGGAGTTGGGGGAGGGTCCCAGGCATTTGGAGTGAACAGTCTTGGTATTTACAGTTACACCAGGAGACAGGAGAGGACACCCTCCGCCCTCCCCGCCTTTCCCAGGCGAGACTGCTGGAACAAGCCTTACAAGGGCTGGCTCTGCAGCCAGTTCAGGTTCCCGTGACTTGGCTGCCCCCCTGGGATTTAGGGGCTGGAGATGCCTGTCCCTCTGTGGGTACCAGATCGGGGCGATTGCCTGGGGTCAGGAGCCAGGGCTAGAAAGGCCTTCTTGTCTTTCTTGCTACAGAAACTGCAGACACACCGGGGCCTACAGAGAAGGAAGGCCCTGGAGTCCCAGGCGGGGAGTGCAGTCCTCCCACCTGCAGCCCAGGCCAAAGGAAGAGCCACAAGAAACAGCAGAGAGGGGCTTCGGGGGCAGGTGAGAGGCTGGCTTTCCTGAGAGTGGGGTCTGTCCTGGAGCTCAGCAGAAAATGGAGGCTTGTTCCTTCCTCTCCCGTCTCAGCCTCCTGATGACCCCCAGAGCAGACACTGTCCCATTCTCACTGGTGGGATGTCTCAGATGCCCTGTCATCCCACAGCTGCCACCATCAGGGCTGCATCGACCTTGGCCGATCTTGCAGGTCCTGCAGGAACCTCTCCTGGGAGCAGCCCCTTGCAAGGCCTCATCAACTGCCTGAAGGAAATCCTTGTGCCTGGGCCCCAGCACCCTGAGGCACCCCTGAGCCTACCACCTCCTGTCCCTGGCCTGGGTGTGTCACGGCTACCCAGGGTGGAGCTGGGACCTGGAAGCCTGCCCTGGGGAGGTGAGTCCTGGGGACCTGCCTGAGGTCAAGGTTTCTGAAGCCCCTAAGACTGGAATTGGCCTTCTGTAGCTATTTCCCTGTAAGTCAAGTGTCTTCCTGAAGGATCATTCTCAGCTTGGCTGCTCCAGCATCATCGGAGTCATATTTCAGGAGCCAGATGGTTTTCTTAGAGCAGCATCTGGGCAGCTAGGAGAAGAAAACTCAGAAGCAGACCCTGGATCCTCTTGTGTTCTTTACTTGCCCTAATGTGGGACCTCGGAGGAGGAGGTGCTGAGTGAGTGGGACACTGAGTGGGACACTTAGCGTGGACTTGGGGAATCGGGGCAGCATGGTGGGGGCAGGAATGCCTGTCCCGCAGTCCAAAGCCTGTTAGCTGTGCAGACTGAAGGCTCCTGAAGCCTTTGAGCTTCGGTTTCCCCCTCTGTAAAAGGGGATCATTGTTCCCACCTCTGGCCCTGAACTCTTTCACCTGTTTACCTGGATTGTCCACCTGTCATTTCTCACGAAGACTGAGGACACTGGGCTCAGGGTGCAAATGTGTTGCTTTTTCCTGCAGTGAAAACAGAGGCAGCCGGGGAGTGTCCCCTCCAGGGTCTGCTGAACTGTCTGAAGGAGATCCCAGTGGCCCAGGACATACACCCCAGCCCTTCAGGAGTGGGGGACCCGCGACTGCAGGAGGACCCAGGGGCCTGGAAAAGGAATTCTGGAGGTAAAGGGCTGGAAGGGCCCTGGGCATCATCCATACCTTCCGCTGCTCAAGGCAGGGCCATGGGGACCCTCCACAGGAGGACACTTGGGCCACACTTCCGTGTGTGAGTTATGTGACCAGATGTCGGGGATTGTCACCATAAGTGGAGCTGGTCACGCAGGAGGTGCTTCATCCGTCTGTGATAATTTTCCAGGTCAACTCTTAGAGGAGGAGCCCTGAATTGCAGAAGGAAGGAGGGGGTGGTGTAGAGGGAGGGACTAAGAGCAGAGACAGCTCCCGCGCAGTAGACATTCGGGGCATAATTTGTACGTGGGGGTTCTTGTTGTGTCCGTGTGGGCTGGGTAGTATTTCCACGCTCTCAGCTCACCCGTGCTCAGCAGCTTCTCAGGACTTTGAGAAAGTGGAATTGAGACTGGTGTGCTGGCCTTGGAGGAAAGACCCTGATTGGTGCAGCCTGGGGAGGGCTGGCCTGGCCCCTGTGGAAACCTCTGGAGGCGTCCACATGGGGCTGGGGGTGGGGAGGCTGGTGGCACAGGGAGTGTGAGTTGGTTCATCTGCTGGTGACTGAGCGGTGACTGCCTCAGAGGGGAGACTGCCATGGAGACCCCATCCTAGCCCATGAGGGCCTCATGGAGGGCTTTCCGCAGGGCCCAGACCCCTCCAGACCCCTTCTCCTGGCCCCGGTACTGGTGCTGACGCTGGCCACATGCTGTCTGTGAAGATGGAGGATGGCTGGGCCAGGAGCCCCCCCGTGCCAGTGTCCTGTCAGCTCCGCAAGCGGACACACAGCCCCTCTGCCACCCGCAGCTCGGGGGGCGATGGAGACACCAGTGGGGTCCGAGTGCCCAGCTGGGGCCCAGCAGCACAAGGTGAGGCCCGAGTCATCTGCTTGAGTCCTGCTGGGGTTCTTAGCAGCCCCTACAAAGTTCTGCCCGCCCACAGGGGAAGGAGCAGGCCCAGTCCACAGGGGAAGAGCCAGCTGTCCTCCAGCAATTAGTGCCTCTCCCAACCTACGCCCTCCTTAACCCAGCCCATGCCCAGTGAGCCCTCCCTCATGAGGACCTTCACTTGCAGAGGTTTCCTGACTTCAGGGAGCTAGCTGGTCATATGTGTGGCTCTCCCACCCCCAGGACCTGGGGACAGTCTGTCATCCCTCCCATATGAACAGAGCAGACCTAAGTCCCCCCACAGGAGGGCGCCTGCCTGGAAGGCTCCCATAGCAGCAGGACTTGCCACCCCAGCAGAAGGCGGGCAGGGCAGCCATCCTGGGGCCAGGCCAGGGGACCTGCCAGAGATGGTGATAGGGCCATCTCCCCTGTCCCAGCCAGCAGTGCCTCGAGCTCACCCCTGGAAGCCCTGGAGGCCTGTCTGAAGGGCATTCCCCTGAGTGGGTCGTTACCTCCCCAGCCGCCAGCCACCTCTTGGTTCCGGAGCCCCCAGCCAGGAGACCCCGGGTCTCAGAGGCCCGAGCTGCAGCCCCGAGGACCACACAGTCAAGGTAGACTTGGCCATGGGCTGGGGTGGCGTTTGTCCCTGCACACGCATGGGGGGCTGTCAAGGACACCGTGATGTCCCCCTCTTCTCATCCTGGGCCTCTTAAAGTACAGGTCCTTCTCCCCTCCCACCCCCTCCCCGTCTCACACCTGCCCCCAAAGAGCTGGGCAGTTAAAGTGCCCCTGCCCACTGCCTTCTCTAAGAGCTCTTACTCTCTAGCCCCATGAGAACAGTGGTTGGGGCGTGTGGGGTAATGTGCTGTGGTATTTTAATCAGTGCCCTAACCAGTGGGGAGACCCCGGTGGAAGATCCTTTGTGCAGGTCTCCCGGGCGCCTGCCCACAGCTCAGGGCCCCGGGGATCTCGTCCCTAGTGGCTTTCCCATGATGCCCGCTGTGCTTTTCCACAGGAGTGACTATGGGGCCTCTTCTGGCTCTGGGCCTGCAGGGCTTCGCCAGAGATGGCCCTGCCCTGCCCCCAGGACCCCGCAGCACGCCCACCAGCTTCTCCTCATCCAGCAGCACTGATGGGGATCTGGAGTTCCAGATCCCGGAGGGTGGCCAGGGGCGCAGGCCTGGGAAAGGTAAGCTGACCAGCCTGAGCTTGGGGTTCACCCTGGGAAAGGATGGGAGGCGCCCCAGCCCGCTGTGGTGTCCAACTGGCCCCCAGTCAGGTCCCATGCCCAGTGCTGCCAGCAGATCTGGGATGCCAGACAGAAGAGGCACTGGACTTGTTTTGGGTGGGGGCGTCTGTTTTAGCGCATTGGCTCAGAAGGGTCAGGACAACATGTGAGATCTCTTAAAAGATAAAAAGGGGTCGCCCTGGCCGGGTGGCTTGGTTGGAGCGTTGTCGCGTACACCGAAAGGTGGCAGGTTCTATTCTAAGTCAGGGCACATACCTAGGTTGCAGGCTCAGTCCCTAGTTGGGGCGCATATGGGAGGCAGCTGACCAATGTTTCTCTCTCTTTCTCTCTTTCCCCTTTCTCTAAAAACATATCCTTGGGTGAGGATTTAAAAAAAAAAAAGCCCTAGCTAGTGTGACTTGGAGCATCGTCCTGCACACTGAAAGGCCTCGGGTTTGATTCTTGGTCAGGGCACATACTTAGGTTGCAGGCTCCATCCCCAGCCCTTGTCGGGGCGCTTGTGGGAGGCAACCAATTGATTTGTCTCTCTCTCCCCCTCCTCCCTTCCACTCTCTTTGAAAATCAGTGGGAAAAATATCCTCAGGTAAGGATTAACAGCAACAAAAAGAGTGTATTTGGTGACCTGCTTCTCCCCAGGTCTCTCTGCATAGAGGCTTTCACGGTGAGCTATCACCTCTAGAATCTTGCAATACTCTCCAGTGTCCCCTCTTGACCTGCAGAATGGGCTCCTCCCTCTAGAATTTTGGCTCATTTAGTTCCTGTTGCTTCCACAGCTCCCTGTCACCAGAAGGGTGGTTTTTGCAATTTATTTGGCTCTGTCTCCTAGTTGAACTGCATTAGCGTTGGTCTTCCTTGGCCTACCCCATCACACCCAAGAGGGCACCTTTAGCATCCCCCCTCTTTGAGTAGTGAGGGCAGCCCTGCGGCGTTCGGTCCTCGGGGCCGTCCTGTGGCAAGGCTGGGTGATAGCATCTCTCACAGAGGTGGAGCTGGGTGTCCTGACCTCATGCCTGGGACCAGTCTCCCTCATCACAGCCCATGGGCCTGACTTTCAAGTAGGCAGCCGAGACACATTGCCGGAGCCTGAGCAGGGCTGCCCAGAGCCAGGACTGACACGTTTCTGGGGCCAGGTCTCAGTTTGGGTGCCCTGCTCTGCCACAACAGGTCCAGCACTCTGTGCCTCCTCTTAGGGGCCCGGTTGCCCTGGACACGGTGCAGGTAAGGTCCCCGGGGTTCACAGAGACCAAGCTCTGACTGACATGGCAAATGTTGGGTTTCCATAGGAATCCCAGTTGGAAGCGCCCCACTCCAGGGCCTGGAGAATTGCCTCAGAGAGATACCTGTACCCAGGTTACAGCCGGCCTGGTCTTGGTCCTCAGCGGGCTACAGAGAACCACGGAGAGTGGAGCCTAAGAGCTGGACGGCAGACAAGGAAGGTAAAGCATGGTTGCCCGGGGGTCTAGGAGCAGGAAAAGGTGTCCTGTACTGGTTCCCCGGGCGCTGCCTCCCCCAGCAGCCAGCGGGCCCACATCCACCCGTGAGATAAAAAGATGCTCTGGAAACCCCCGGGGCAGAAGCTACTGTGAGGCCAGAGATCCAGAGACCACCACCTCTGAGTGGTGGGTGCAGCCAGGCAGGGCCCTCTGCTCCTGAGTCCAGACCTGAGCCAGGCCTTAGATGTCTGTCTGTCTGTGTTTTTTTGTTTTTTTGTTTTTTTTAAGAAGAAGGGAGATGGGTGGGTGGGAAAAAGAAAGATTTTCTGTTTTTTATTTCACTTCTTTATGCATTCACTTGTGGCATATTGGGACAATGCTTTAACCAACTGAGCTATCCTGGCCAGGGCCAGGGCTGTTTTTTTTGTTGTTAACCCTCACCTGAGGATATTTTTTCCATTGATTTTTAGAGAGAGTGGGAGGGAGGGAGGAGGGGAGAGAGAGAGAGACACATAGATCGTTGCCTCCTGCGTGTGCTCTGACAGGGCTCGGGATGGCGCCTACGACCCAGGTATGTGCCCTTGACCAGAGTCAAACCTGCAGTCCTTTGGTCCTTGGGCCGATGCTCTAAACACTGAGCCAAACCAGCCAGGGCCATGGAGGTGTGTCTTTCGATTGTGGCTGTGCTGGCCCCATGTGCCTTGGTATCTGACATAGCCGCTGAGCTGCAGGGCTCCCAGGAGTCCAGGTAGCTGGGTCTGAAGAGATCCCAGAAGATTTGGGTGCCTCTGGGAACATCTGCAGGGCTGGTGTATGCCCCACATCTGGAGCTCATGTGCCCAAGAATCCAGCGGTGACAGGGGTGTTCTCTGTCCGTTAACGTCCTTTCTTTGGTGCCAACACAGGGCCCTGCAGGGCTGACAGTCCTCTTGGCCTCTCGTTCAAACAGGACTGAAGAGCGAGGCATGTGAGCTTGTCCACCTCAGGGGGGACATGCCCTCCAGGAGCCTGCGACCGGTGAGCCCGCAGGCACTCGCCTCTAGCAGCGTCCCCGCCTGCTGCCAGCGAGGGCCCAAAGACCATGCGGCCCCCAGGCCAGGACCATGGAGGTGGCTGCAGGACGGTGAGCTGGCGGCTGCCCCCAGCACTTCCTGGCGTGTTTTCCCTCCAAACAAAGTGTTGGATGAGGGGATAGGTTTTCTCCTGTCTCGGTTCCCCGGTGTCATGTACCCCTTCCCCCCGCCCGCTGAGCACGGGAGCCGGTGCAGGGCTCCCTCTGCTGCTGCAGCCACGTAGCTTCACCTGCAGCAGGACTCCATCCTAGACTTGCCCAAGTGCTGGTCGGCTCAGACTCGTTTCAATAAATATGGTGTTTCTAACACACCCATTGGGCAAGAGCTGGCTCTTGGGGCCTCATGGGGGCTTAGCAGTCTCTGCTATTGGACAGCTGGTCCTGAGGGAGTAGAGTAGGGGGGCCCAGGGCCTTGCTGGAACCCACTCCTAGTGGCTTTCAGGGACTTGAGTCTTCCGGAAAGTTCCCCAGCTGGCTTTCGGAGGGGCTGGGGGCCTGGTCAGGCTCTGGCTGCATTTCTCTCCACCATCACGGCAGAGAGGGCGTCAGGCCCAGCAGAGCTTGTCTGTGGCCATTGGCTGGACTGTGTGCCTGTTCATCCAGGCTGATGGGCAGAAGGTTCTGTTGTCATTTGCCCAGGGGCAGCCACCATGCCCTCCCCACTTCACTGCCTGGAGAACTCTCTGAAGGGGATCTTGCCTGGGAGGCCCCTGCGCTTCGCCTGCTTGGCTGGCCCCAGCCCTGGCCCCGGCCCCAACCCCAGCCCCGGCCCTGGCCCCGGCACTGGCTCCAGCTCCAGCTGCAGCCTCGGCAGCTCAGAAGGAGAAGACCCAAGGCTGGAGCCTGAGCTCTGGCACCCGCTCCTGCAGGGTAAGCTTGTGGGGCAGAGAGGAGGCAGGGAGCTATGCCCCAGGCTGGGGCCACCACCCTGACACCAGCTTTCTGATGCAGGGAGGGACCCTCTTCCCAGCAGCAAGAGTCCTGGCCCCCCGACCCCAAGCCCTGGCGGCCTACCTACTGGCAGTAGCCCTGGTGAAGGCCCTAGGAGAGCAGAGCCCAGGGACCACTTCAGTCTCAGTGCAGGTGAGCCTGGGGTCTCCTGAAGGGGTGTGTCCGCAGGAGGGCCACAGTCTAGAGGCTGGGTTCTCTGAGTCCCACCTGTCACTTTGCCTGACACTTGCCAGGAAGTTCTCTACTTTTGTCATGCAGGAGTTCCCCGTAAGATGAGTTGTATCCAAGAGAGAAGGTGGGGCTGTTGAGGCACTCGGGCTCCGGGAGTGTTAAATGAGAAATGAGAGTGTTTTATTAGAGAGCCTGGCAATGAAGTTAATGTGTACAGGTTATAATATTACACATAGTATGCACACATTGTGTACACTTAGTAATGTGTACACACACACACACTGTTGTGTGGGCCCCAGCCTGTGGATAGTGACACTCTCACTAGGAATGCCTGAGGCGCTCACCCACCCTGTTCCTCGGGGGAGCCCCACAGACATTCCCCCTCCCAGGCCCGTTATTCTGGCTGGGCCGCCCTGTGCTTCTTGCTGTGATCATAGGATGCACTTCAGCAAAAACCATCAAAGAACATTGAGGAACAGGATTTAAGATTTTAAAAAATTTTTTAATTTATTTGAAAGATTTTTTTAATTGGTTTTTAGAGAGAGAGGAGGGGAGAAAGAGAGAGAAACATCAATATGAGAGTGAGACATCGGTCGGCTGCCTCCACACCCTTCACCAGGGATGGAGCCCTCAACCTGGGTGTGTACCCTTGACCAGGAATCTAACCGGCAGCCTCTAGGTGCACAGGACAATACCCAACCAGCTGAGCCACACCAGCCAGGGCAGGAGGAACAGGATTTATTACTTACAGGTGGAGAGAGAAAGCACATGAGCTTGAGGGCCTAGGGCTCTTTGTCACCGTAGTCGTGGTGGGGTATCTAGGGTTTGGTGGGTTTGCTCTTTATTGGCTAATTTAAAACATGGGAGTGGGAATTGGGACACAGGAAGGGAGAATCAGGGTCATTCAGATGGTCAGTTACCTTGGTCACCTAGGGCTTCTGATAGAGGGACTTCCTGGGGCTGGGGCAGGCTGGCTCCTCACCTGGTTGTTGGCCAGGAGCTGTCATACCCTTGGTGGTGTGTTTGTCCGAGATGGACGTCTTCTGAAACAGACGCCTCGGCAGTCCAAAGCTTAGCATCAGGGACTTACACTACATGTAAATAATATACATTTTAAAAATTTGGCAATAAACATAAATTGTCAAAAGTGAGACTCCACCTGAGAGAAGTTAGACATTGTCCTGCCAAGAAAGCTGGGCATGCGGCCTGCTACCCCAGGCCCAGGCACTTCTCAGCCCAAGCCTGACCGAGTGTTTGACCCAGCAGGAAAAGCAGAGGAGAAGACTGGAGGCAGACCCCAGGTGCCCAGGACAGAAGTGTGCTTGGAGACCTTGCATCGGCTTGGCCCCCTGGGCAGCACCCGAGGAGGTAGGGGTGGGGTGACTGGTCGGGGAAGGGGGCTCCCTTCGAATTCAAGCTGGTGAGCCCATGCAGTCCTTGGCTTCTCTGCAGGCCCAGGCTGTCCCCACGTTCCTCACTGCCCAGTGGGGCTTGGGGGAAAGAGTACAGTGGGCTGGGCATGGGCCATCCAGTCTCCCACAGGCCACAGGGTGCCCCCAGCATGTCCCTGGTGGAGTCTCACTGCTGGGACCTGCAGATCAGGGCCCTCTCCACTCCCTCTCCCTGACCCCTACCCCCTGGTAGAGCCAGAGGTGTCGTGCCTGAGCTGCAGAGGTCCCCAAATACCAACGCCTGTCACACGGGCCCCAGCGGGCCACTTGACCAGAGTTGGGCTCCCTGGTGGCCCAAGTATGTCCATCTTGCCTCTCATAATGGTTAACATTATTTGAGAGCTGAAAGTTTAATTTTTTTTAGGTTGTGTCCAAATACTCCCATGTTAGAATGGCTCTGTCAGAACGATACATGTGCAGCCCCCGAGTGTTCTGTGCTCTTTCTGCAGGGCCAGCTGGGGGGCCCTGCCCTGCCCCTCGGCCAGAGAAAGGGCTGGGGCCTGGGCCCTGCCTGCCACCTGGGTCAGCTGCTCGGCCCCTGTCCTGGAAACTCAGGGTCAGTGAAGAATCCAGGGGCCTGGAACCTGGACACAGAGCACCAAGTGCTGCAGGTAAGCTGGTCATCAGGTCCCCTCAGGTCACCAGGAGCCCTGGGCACAGGGGTGGGAGGGAACAGGTTAGCGTCTGCATAGCCACCTCAGCTCCTTCCTGCAGGGTCAGCTGGGGGGAAGTTTTTCTTAATACCCTTCCAGGCTTGTTTGGATCACAGATAGGAAGAATTTCACCTTGAACTCATTTCAGGTTGCTTATTTCATTTCAGTGTTTTCTCACTGAAATAGCTGGCTTTCTCATAAAAGCACAGGTACCTTTCAGAGGCAAAACAGAAATCGAGACTTGTACCAGAGTAGATACCCCCGGAAGCAAAGTTTGGAGTTCCAATGGACTTCAGAGAATAGACAGGGAGACTGAGGCCTGGTTGCGTTGTGTGACCTGGCCAAGGGCTTCCGAGAGATGCAGATGTGGTTCTGCATCACACCTCCCCTGGAGGCAGCTCCTCCCTGAACCACATTAGAGACACGGCAGCGCTCCTGGTTCACTGCAGGGCACCCATGGATTGCCACACACCAGTCGGGGAGTATGGCCCGCGGCGGCTCGGGGCTGGCAGGCCGGGCTGCTCGAGGCGGTGGCTGCTTGATTAAGGGCGCTGCGCTGGCCCGAGGCTGCCCGCCCGCGCCTCTCCCTCAGACAGAAGTGTACCTGCCACCGCAGCAGGGTCACTTGCCCTTAACTCAGATCCTTCTCGAACTTGACCAGGTGACGAGGGTCCTTCAGCCCCTCCAGCTTCACTCTTTCCTCTGACTAAAGCCCTGGATGTGCTGATGAGGAAGGAGCCAGGCTGGGGCTCAGGGCAGGGGAACAGCTGGGACTCGGGGGGCAGGGGGACAGCAGGTCTGTCTGAGGAGGTAGCAGGGCTTTCTTGTGAGGTTTGCTTGAGGCAGAGACTAGTTCCAAGGGAACTTAGGGTGAAGGATTAGGCGATTAACAAAAAAAAGACTTAGGATCCTCTAGATCTGTAACTTCTGAATATGAAGGACAGAGGTCGGGGTTGGGGGATCCCTGGTGGTTTGCTTATGACCAGTTGCACTGGGTACTGACACGGGCTCTTGGTCACCCCGCTGTAGGCACCAGGCCCCAGGTTGGACCGGCCCTCCTGGGCCCTCTTCCCAGGCCCTGCTCATTGACTCTCCAGGGCATGGGTAGGTGCCCTCAGGTGCCATTTGGTCCCAGAGATGGCACAAGAATCCTTTGACCCTTTTTCTAGAAAGTCCAGTGTCCTAAGAAATCTTAGTTACCACGGAGACCCAATCTGTGGTTTATTCTGTCCCTGAATTTGGGAAATGGCCGGGAGATGTGGCCACTTTTGATGTCATGAACATTGTCATCGATGTTCTCAAGCCCGAGTCACTTCTTCCCGTCTAAAGTCAGGCCTTATTGGGGCAGGATGCTAATCCAGGGAAGGTCCCGAGAGCCTGGGAATTCTCACCCACATCCCTGCTCTGGTTTTAGCCAGGACTGAAGGGAGGCCACTTCCCAGAGGCCTGCCTGAGCCGCCCTCCACGGCTACCGTCCCTCCTGCTTTGCCACCTGCCTCCCCACGGCCACCGTGTCCCTGTGGGAATTCCCTGCAGCAGGAGCTCTGCAGCCTCAGCGCCGCCCTCTCAGAGAAGCTGGATCGGCTCGCCGCCGCCCTGGCAGGCCTGTCTCAGGAGGTGGCCACCATGAGGACCCAGGTGGATCGGCTGGGGAGGCGCCCGCGGGGCCCTGGGCCAAAGGGCCAGGCTTCCTGGCCGTGGGCCCTTCCCCGGGGACCTCACTGGGCTCATGGCCTTGCTCACAGACACCTGCCCTACCGGAGGCAGAAGGGCCCCACCAGGCTGAAACCAAAGGTCCTGCCCGGCCAGGCGGAAGGCTGCAGGGCTGGAGACGCCTCAGGCCTCTCCCGTGAGACACTCCACCCGGTACCCCAGCTGCCTCCAGACGCCCCCCAGGCAGAACCTTCCGGGACCAGCTGCAGCCCTCAGCAGCCACCATCCTCCGCATGCAGCCGTGCCGTGGTCACTGTGCACCCCCCGCTCAGACACGCTGGGGGCCCCCAGAGCCCCCCTGCCTCTTCAGTGCCTGCTGCCTTCCCCCCTCAGACGGCCTCTCCTGCCACCAGTGCAGATGCAGAGCCGCCCGCTGCGGCTGGGCCGGCTAGGACCCGAAGCTGGCCCAAGGACCCAGACGGCCTCTTGGCAGGAGTCAGAACCCTCGAGGAGGAACTGTGGGGTGGAGAACATCGGGGCCCGAGGTGGGGGGCCCCTAACCGCCTTCTGCATCAGCTCAGCCCCGAGGACACCCTGCCCCCGGCCGCCTCTCCCAGGGCCCAGCCAGCCCCTGCACGCCGCTCCGGCCAGACCTTCCCCATTTCTGGGCTGTGAAGGACTGGACGTCCCCCTTGGCCTGACCGCCCCAGGCTCCAGGATGCGTTTGCTCGGGGGGCCTCCACTTGGGGTGCATTCCTCAGCCCCATCTCTGTTCTTGTTGACTCAGGTTCATTCAGATTTTGCTCCCCACCCATCGTTGCCACCAGAACTGCCACAGCTCACAGGCGGGTGGCGGCGTACACACCCGTGCACAGCCCATGTGCCCGGGGCGCTCGGAGCAGCTGCAGGGGGGCCACACGAGCCCCTTTCCCTAGCACCTGCCCTTCCTGCCCTCAGCGCTGAGACGGCAGTGGCTCTCACCTTCCCGCTGAATACGGGCAAGATTTTATTTGGAGAGAAAGCCACTCCTTGGTCTAAGTTGGATTCACCCGTGTGGATTCTAAAAGTTACAAAGGGTTGCTAAGGGAAGGTTGGTGCCTGCAGAAGGGGTGAAGCTCAGTGGGTCCACGCCAGGGTGTGGCTGCTCGGTTGGTTACCAGTACTGGGACACGTGGGCTTGGTCACCAGGATGCAGTGTACTTGCAGCCAGCCCACTCTAGGTGTGGTCCAGGTCCAATCAGGCCGTATAGGAAATTCAGATCTTTTTATTTTTTAAAGAATGTGGAAAGTGAGTAATAAGATGAAGGGTAAGATGCTCCATGATCTGCAGCTACATTCGTCCCACAGGTCCGCTGCCACACACACCAGAAACCGTCACGGTGGTTCCCTGAAAGCCTCCAGAATCACCAGTTTGATGAAAAATCTGAGCAGTTTAGGACTTCAGGAGTATGTCCAACACTTTGGCCGACTATGAGGAAATGTCAGTTTGGTGGGAGAAACTGAGGGGCCTTTTTTGAACTCAGGAATTCCAGGGGTCTGGAGAGTGGGGGGCCACAGAAGGCTCTGGCTCTGCCTGTCACCAGCCTGGCAAGTAGCCCGGAGGACGGCGCCTGGCTGACCTGGCATGACCTTCCCTCCACGCGCTCCAGGGGCTACTTGCCAGCTTGAGGCTACTGTGAGGCAGGAAAGGGAAGGTCCCACTTCAACCAGTCAGAACCAGTGAGATCCCCACCGGCTCCAGGCTACCCCAGAGGGGTTCAGTGGTAAAGAGGCTGAAGTGAGGTGGGGGTGCAGGGACCCCAACCCACTGCCTGTGACACCCCATGAGGAGGAGCTTGGTTTGTTGGCAGACAGACATGACCCAACTTTTGTGTCTGCGTTTTAGATGTGGCTTCTGTAAACAGCCTGTAGTTGGATTTTGTTTTTTGATCCAGCTTGACAAAATTTTTCCTTCCTTCCTTGGAGCCCTGAATCCATTTCCATGTAATAAAGTTACTGACATATTTGGATTTGAATACGCCATCTCATTTTCTGCTTCTGTTTGTCCCACTCGTTCTGGGGTTTTCCTTTCTTCCCTGCCTTCTGCTGTATCTCAGTGTTGTGGGGTTTGTTTTTATACATTCCCTTTTCCCTCTGCTGGCCTCAACATTAAAAGAACTAAAAGCATCCAAATATATGATCACATTTGGGAGGTTTGGGCATGCCTTTTCCAGAAGTTGATAGAATAAAAAATCAGGAAGGATACAGAAGATTTGAACAAATCAATTAACAAAATTGGCTCGATGGATGAATATATAGGACACTGCACCACAGGACTGCAGGATATATGTTCTTTTCAAGTATACGCAGGACAGTCACAAAAGTTGGCCGTATAGTGAACCCTGGAGGAAGATTAAACAAGTTTGACTGTTAACACTGAATATGTTCTCTGACCATACTGTACCTTTTAAGGTAGAAGCTAATAAAAAAAGAGAAATGTTTATATATTAGAAAAATAAGAATTATGACCCTAAATAACACGTGTCAATGAAAGAAATATTTTGAACTGAACTATAAGAAAGTATCTCATATCAAACTTGGAGAATAAAGCTAAGTCAGTACTTAGGAATGTGTGGGCATAAATGAGTATGTGAGGGGGGGAAAAAATCTACAAGGAGGTAAAAAAAAGACAGCAAAGGAAATCCAGAAAAATGTTGAGGGCATGTAAAGATAAGAGCAAAAATTAGTGAAATAGCATTCATACATTAGATATAATCAAGAAAACCAAAAAGTGTTTCTTTTAACAAAAAAAGAAACTGTCCAGCTTGTGGTATAATTCACCAACAAGAAGGCACATATTGCTTCTCGATCACACGTGGAAAGGCACAAATAACCAATCTCAGGAATGAAAAGTTGACATCACTGTAATTGCCACTACAGACCATATAAAAATGAAAAGATTAGATATTTTAAGTGGCTTTGCCCAAAATTTCAAAAGTCGGTTGAACTATACAACTCCCATAAGAATATAACTTAACAAAACAGACTGAAGAAGAAATAGAAAACCTGAACAGTTTTGTACAATTGAAAAAATTGCACGGAGTCAAACATCTTCCCACAAAGGGAACTGCAGACCCAGACGGCCTCACCGGCAAGTTCTACCTCACATTTAAGGTCATTTCAGTAATGTACAAACTATTCCAGAGAACAGGAAAATATGGACTACACTGACTCATTTTATGAGACTAAATACAACCTGGAAACCAAAAGTTGAGAATTAAAGTACAAGACAACAATCAGAGGCCAATCTCCAAAAATGTGCAAAGAAGCAAAAATCCTAAACGAGTATTTTCAAACAACCCAGCAACTTATAAAGAGAAATAAACATCATGACCAAGTTGAGTTTATGCCAGAGATTCAAGGCTGGTTTTAACATTGGAAAATCACTAGTGGTCACCCACCACAATAACGGATAAAAGTCATCTGATCATCTCAATAGCTGCAGAAAGATGGTTTGATAAGAGCCAACATCTACAAATACTCTAGGGTGAGAAAGGGAATTTCTTAATTTGATAGAGATTACCTACCCCAGAAATAACCTAGAGCAAACATGATACTTAATGGTGACATTGAATGTTTCTTCAGGAACAGGGAAAGGAAGCGCACTCTCACTATTTTTTCTAATCCTTACCAGAGGATATTTTGTCCATTGATTTTCCTTTTTAGGGCAAGTGGAAGGGAGAGGGGGAAAAGAGAGAGAGAGAGAAGGAGAGAGAGAAACATCGATGTGAGAGAGACACATCAGTTGGTTGCCTCCTGCACGGGCCTGACCTGGGGCCAGGGATTGAACCTGCAACCCAGGTACATACCCTTGACTGGGAATTGAACCCGAGACTCCTCTGTGCTCGAGCCGGTGCTCTAACCACTGGGACACACTGTCCAGGGCTCTCACACACTGTTACTCTGCATTATAGTGGATGCTCTAGCCAGGACAGTAAGGTAAGGGGAAAAGAAAGGCACGGAAATCCAAAAAGAAGGAAAAAAGGAGTCATGACAAGGGCTATGACTATACACATAGACAACTGAAAGCAATCTATAATCTTTTAAAATTCAGAAAATTTTAAAGATTAAAATTTTTCACTTATGGTAAAAAAAAGTTCCAAGAATCTAGGAATAAACCAGAAAATACTTATAGAGAGAAAACTACTGAGCACTTTTTAATAATTTCCTTCACTCCTATTTCTCATAAGAGTCAAGGTAGATGCTAATACTATTATTTTCATCTCTATTTTACAAATGAGGAAACTGAAGCACAGAGAGGGTGATAAGCTTGGTCCAGGTCACACAGCCAGTAGGGGATTGAACTGCACTTGGATCCGGGGTAATTGGCTTCAGAGAAAAGTGAGGCCCTAAAACATGCAGAGCAAGAAAGCTAGGTCTGTGCAGTCAGAGGCAGAAAAAAATAGATTATTTTTAAAATCACTTACCTGCAACACTGCTTGTAAGCTCTGAGTGAGGGCAGATGTGTAGTGTATCTGTGCACCAACCCTGGCAGGGACAGAGTGGGGGTTCAATAAACATGAACTGAACATCTGAATGAATGGTGCATTTATTTGGATTTGAGACACCAGAGGGTGAGGCTGTTGGAATAAATTTATTGAAATTTCCCACGTGTTCATAGAACCCTTAGATTCTCATAGAAACTGGGAGCTTATACCATGAGCACCTGGGGCTCAGCGAGGTACGTGTGTTTTTCTTGGGCTAACAGGCTTCTCAGGCATTATTACAGGAAGGTTAGGAAAGAATTCTTTCTTAGCCCTGGAGCATCTGTGTCCACCCAGCATGTCCTCAGACACTCCATCCTCTGCATTTTAAAATTTTAAATGTTTCTGGCTTGGTGACCTGAACTTGGACTTGAAGGTGATTAAGGACAAGACCCTAGAGCAGTGAGCCCTCATGCCTGAATGCACATTGGGATCACTTGGGAAAACTTTTGAAAATCAGGTTCGGGCCCCATTTATGCAAATTCTAATTCAGTTGGTCTTGAGTAGAGTGAGCATTGGTATCTGTCTATCCATTCATCCATCTTTATATCCATCCACCCATCCATCCATCCATCCATCCATCCATCCATCCATCCATCCTCCATCCATCCACCCATCCACCATCCATCCATCCATCCACCCATCCATCCACCCATCCACCATCCATCCATCCATCCATCCTCTTCATACACATCCGTCTAGCCATATGTAAACTCTTTATTGAATATAACAAGTATACAGAAGAGCACACACATCCATTGGTATATTTTTAAGCTTCCAGAAGATTCTAATGTGATGAGAACCATTCTTGTTGGCAAAACTGTAGGACAAAGTTTATCTTTGGGCCTTTCCCACCATCTCCCTTCAGCCTTCCTTCCTCCCTACTTACCACAAAGAGCTTCTCCTGCATCAACCTGCAAGCGGCAATCTCGTATTTATCTCATTCGGAGTTGATGCAGAGTCACTGCTGTGCCGGGAGCCGCAGGTGGGCTCATGCACCTTCACCAGGTAACAGAAGTTCACCTTAACGGGTGGGATAGGGAGAGGACAGGCCCCTAAAGAAAGGGAGGTGGGGGTCTCAGGGGAGGGAGTGGTGGGTGTGGGGTGGAAGCCACTAGAAGTTGGGGGTCAGGGTCCCGAGCTGAGAATCATCGCACTGGAATTTTCCTCCCCTCCCCACCCCTGCCACTAATGAGCTCTGAGTCTCAGTCCTCTAGGAATCCTCATTTAGGGATGAATTAGTAAATTAGTCTGTTTAGGCTTATTGCCCCCTCCCAAGAAATCTTTGTATTTTGCCAGAAAATGTCAATAGGCCTTTCAGGCCCTTGTGAGCAGAAAGGGAGGCTCTTCTTGGCCTGGGCTGCCTCTCATGGTCCACCAAATCGCTCGGTGACCACTTTCTCTCTCAAGACCTAGGGGGGTGGCAGGAAGCAGCATTTCTAGAAGCCTGGCCTAGGAGGGAAGAGCTGGGATCTGGTAGCAGAAAGGGGCTTCAATCCCGGCCTGGGTGCCATATGCAGGGGGGACGAACAATTACAGATCAAAACTACAACTGGTATCTTACAGGGGCTGAAAGGAAAGCTGAGAGGCCATGAACTAGGCCCCTCCTGTTCCTAGACACAACTTTAAGGACCTCCTCAAAGGCCTTTGAGGGTCCTCCACTGTCTTGCCCATGAAGTCATTCTGTGTGTGGTTCCTGGATAGGGGATGAATGCAGACATGTCTATCACCAGACTTCTCTCCCTAAAGGGGAGCTTGGTCCTGCTTACACCCTGCTGAGGGGAGCGGAGTGGGAGCAGCATCCTTCAGAGACGCCCCATTGACCACAGATCAAGTCCTTACCCTAGAATCCAGAGCCTCGGTGGGCTGGCCTCGACCTCGCTGAGCAACCTCACAACACACTGCTTTCTCTCACAGAACTTATTTCAGCCTGCATGTCTTGCTGCTCCTATGCCTACCTGAGCCCATGTATTTTTCCTTCCTCAATTTTCACATTCCATTTGACAAAGTCCATTTCAGTAGCCAAGTTGAAAACTGGTACCTCCACCACGATTCCTGTAGTTAGAAATGGTGAAGCTAACATTGACAATGGCAATGACAGCTAACATTTATTAAACACCTACAATGTCCAGGGACTGTTGGAAAGATTCAAGACAACGTAAAGTCCTGGAAACGGCTGACATATGGTAGGTCTCACGGAATTCACTGCAGGATCTAAAAACTGTTCACATACAAGAATTCCAGAATGTTTAGAGAAATAGAAACATTGCTATAACCCCCACCAATGTTGCTTGCATGTGTCTGATTTTACTTGTCTGAAAAATGACACTTTTAACTGGACCACATGCTGAGTGTCAAAGAGGCCAGGCGAGGCACCTTCAGAGAGTGAGGCCAACGGGGCAGTGGGGGCTGTGGGCACTGCGCTCCTACCCCTTAGTCTAACAAGACCAACTGCTGCTCAGCCCCAGCCTATTCACAACACTATTCACAAGAGAAGCTGGAAGTCCACATTTTTTGTTGTTAATTCTACCCAAGGATATTTTTTCCATTGATTTTTAGAGAGTGGAAGGGAGGGGGAGGAGAGAGAAAGAAACATCTATGTGAGAGAGACGCATTGATTGGTTGCCTCCTGCACATGCCCCAACCTGGACCGGGGTTCGAACCTGCAACCCAGGTACGTGCCCTTGACCAGGAATAGAACCTGCAACCCTTTCATGTGTGGGCCAATGCTCTGACCACTGGGCACACCTGCCAGGGCTGGAAGTCCAGATTTTTTGTCAAATATCCAAGTATTTAAAATGCTTCTGGAGCAACACAATGGCCCGTTTGTGGCCACACTGTCACATTCACTGGGACCACCTACTCATGCATTGGTGCCCAGGAAACAAAACTCACTGCATTCACACCCCCTCTCCTCCCCTGCCCCTCATCAACATCAACAATTGTATTGTAAGGAGCAAGCCCAAGCCCAGGAAAATGAATGCCCTGCTCCAAGTCTTGTAAGAGGCACAGGAGGGGTCAAATCCAAGACTTCTCACTCCAGGTTCAACTTGTTCCCCATCGCCCCACGTCTCCCCTTCACTGCCAGCCAGCCAGCCAGCCCTTCCAGCTGCCTCAGCTGGGGAGGCTCAACTACAGAGACGCCTGGATAAGCACCCATCATAAAGACAGAACTTGTGGGAAAGTATACTGGGGAAGAAGCTTCATATAGCATTAATGTCCTTTCTCACGGTGCCAGGCAGGGTGGCAGGTGGGGCTGCTTTTCTGAGATCCCCTTGGGAGAGCTGCAGTCAGAGGCAGAAGCTCTAGAGCTCCAGAGCCATGGGTTGCACATGTCTCCATGGGAACAGCCCAAGGTCACCTGCCCACTCCCTGTGCATGCCCCACAACTCCAGCCTTCAACACCTGGCATGAGAAATGTGTGCTAATGTTCCTTCCTCATCAGATTTCTGGGCTAGAAGGAGCAGAGGGACATGGTTCAGCAGTTAGCTGTCTTGTATTTTGATTTGGAGGCGAGATTACGAGCAGCTGGCTAAGTGGAATCCACGAGGATAGGCAGGGAAAGGTCCTCTGTGTGTGGATTAGAGTCAGAGGTTCCCTCCCCCCAAGCATTTAACAGCCCTAGAACCTTCAGATTTTAATTTTAATGACACTGTAAGTACACGGATAACCATTCTCTCCCTCCCCCTGTAGAGGTTCCTGGCTTGGCCAGGGGTGGTCCAGGAAAGGGCAGCTTTCCAGGGGTTCTCTTGGTGGAAGCCTTCCAAGGACTCAGGCTTGAATTATCCCCAGCAAGGCATCCTTTCCAGACTTCTCCCCGGAAAGATGGAGAGGGAAGAAGAACAGGGCCCAGGGACCTAGGCCACCCTGCCACCTCGCTCACCCGCTTGGACCTGGGTCTCTCCAGCCAGGCAGCAACAGAAGGCAGAGGAAGGGTCTGGACGGCAAGGAGGCTCAGAAGAAGAGTGGGGGCGCTGCCACCTCCGCGGTCGCGGGCCAGGCTGGGGCCGGGAGGTCAGGGTCCGAGGCCAGGTGGGCCGCTTCGCCGTGGATGCGCTGGTGCCGCACGAGGTGAGTCTTGCGGCTGAAGCTCTTGCCGCACTGCGGGCAGGAGAAGGGGCGAGAGCCCGTGTGGATGCCCTGATGGCGCACAAGGTTGGTTTTGGAGCTGAAGCTTCGGGCGCAGACGGCACAAGCGTGGGGCCGACTGCCCGTGTGCACAGCCTGGTGGCGGCCCAGGTGCGACTTGCGGCTGAAGCGGCGGCCGCACTGCGCGCAAGCGAAAGGCCTGGCGCCGCTGTGGGCCCGAGAATGGGCGACCAGGTTAGGCCGCGAGCCGAAGCGCCGGCCACACTGCGCGCAGGCGAAGGGCCTTTCGCCCGTGTGCACCCGCCGATGCCGGGCCAGGTGCTGCCCGTGGGCAAAGCCGCGTCCGCAGTCCGGGCAGAAGAAGGAACGCTCGCTGGCCGGAGCGCCCTGGGGCGCCTGTGCGCTTCGGTGCGGGCACGCAAGGGGCTCGGCGGCAGCGGGGTCCAGTGCACACTCGTCGCATCCAAAGGGGCGCCCCTCGCCGCTGTGCAGACGCTGGTGCGTGGCGAGGTTCTTCTTCCAGCCGAAACTCAGTCCGCAGTCGGCGCAAGCGAAAGGCTTAGGTCCGGGAGGGGACGGGGCCGGGGACGGGCCCGGGGAGCCCGGAGAGGCGGACGCGTCGGGAGACAGCGGGGCGCGGCAGGCCGCCTCGTGCACCCTTTGGTGCCGCACCAAGTGCTGCTTGTGCGTGAAGCTGCGTGCGCACTGCGCGCACTGGTAAGGCCTCTCGCCCGTGTGGATGCGCTGGTGGCGGATCAGGTGCGTCTTTTTGCGAAAGCGCTTCTCGCACTCGGGGCAGGGGAAGGGCCGCTCGCCCGTGTGCGTCTTCTGGTGCGAGCCCAGGTGGATCTTCTGGCTGAAGCGCTTGCCGCACTCGGCGCACGGGTAGGGGCGCTCGCCCGTGTGCGTGCGCAGGTGGCGGGTCAGGTGCGCCTTCTTGCTGAAGCGCTTGTCGCACTCGGAGCACGGGAAGGGCCGCTCGCCGCGGTGGCTGCGCTGGTGCAGGAGCATGTGCGCGCGCTGCGTGAAGCTC